GGCCAGAACCAAGTCTGGCTGTGATGGATTACAAAGAGAAAAATACCTGAAAGAGAACATATACAAGGCAGATAATGTGATCACTTTTATCTGCCTCGTCTACTTTTCCTTGAGGATCAATACAGCTTCAAGGATGAAAGATAGAACAAGATCGTGTCATGACAGAGTTCAGCTTCATGAACCCTCTATAAATTTCATTTGGCTTAAAAACAGTACTCAGGAAAATCAATAACTCTATCTAATTAAACATAGCAGCACCGTATCTTTCACTGTCCAAAGGGACTAAACAGAGCTCACTACTACTCGTTTACAGCACCCAGTAGAGAACATAATATTTCACCCTCCCCCTGCTTAGCTACTTTCCTTTTTGAAGCAACTCCAACAGAATGTATAAAAACCTATTTTATTTATTTATTTATTGGTCAGAAGCAGAGTTATTTCTGAACGTGCAGATAGTGTATTTTGTGAATTAATAATAAAAGTTTGCACTTAAAAAGCATCTTTCATCTGAGGCTGTGGGGGCAATTTATAAATATATAGTACTTTATTAATTTAGCTGCAATATTTCTATGAAGCAGGTAAGCATTATCTGCACTTTACAGATGAGGAAACTGAGGCACACAGACGAGCCTGATTCTGCTTTCACTTTCCCCATGGTAAATCAAGAATAACTTCACTGAACTGAATGGAATTACACCTGCCAAAACTAGTGTGACAGCACAATCAGGACCTCAGTGTCTCACTAAGGTGTCCCAATAAGTCTGTGCTACAGCCAGGAATAGAAGCCCTGGCGTCCCAACTCAGAGCTCTGAGCCTTTTAATAGGTCTCCCTCTTATAACCGAGGCACAGAGATATTAAATAACTTGTCCAAGGTCACATAGCAAAGTCTGTGGCAGAGCCAATAACTGAACCCAGATCTCCTGAGTATCAGGTCTTTGCCTTAATCATGACAATCCTCAAATACCCACCATGCATGAAAAAAATTAACAGGAAAACATTCTGCATTTCTAAATTGTCTTAGTTGTAGTTCTCGAAGTGTTTTCTCTCTCTTCAGATTAAAATTTTCAGCAGTGGACAGAGGCCTGTCTCTGACACAGCAGAACTCCTCACATGAGTACTGGCTGCACATCGGATGCTAAGCTGAGCTTCTGTATGTTGCTTATATGTTATTTTCCTTGAGCAGTGTATTACACAGACTCACAGAAACATAGGGCTGGAAGTTAAGTTTTTCCTAATGTCCAACCTAAACTGCCCTTGTTGCTATTTAAGCCCATTGCTTCTTGTTCTATCCTCAGACATTAAGGAGAACAATTTTTCTCTCTCCGCTTGTAACAACCTTTTATGTACTTGAAATCTGTTATGTCCCCTCTCAGTCTTTTCTTCTCCAGACTAAACAAACACATTTTTTTCAATCTTCCCTCATAGGTCATGTTTTCTAGACCTTTAATCATTTTTGTTGCTCTTCTCTGGATTTTCTCAATTTGTCCACATCTTTTCTGAAATGTTGCGCCCAGAACCGGACACAATACTGCAGTTGAGGCCTAATCGGCACAGAATAGAGCGGAAGAATTACTTCTAGTGTCTTGCTTACAACAGTCCTGCTAATACATCTGGGAATGATGTTTGCTTTATTTTGCAACAGTGTAACACCTTGACTCATATTTAGCTTGTGATCCCCACTATGACCCCCATATCACTTTCTGCAGTACTCCTTCCAATTTTGTATGTGTGCAACTGATTGTTCTTTCCTAAGTGGAGTAGTTTGCATTTGTCCCCATTGAATTTCATACTATTTACTTCAGACCATTTCTCTGGTTTGTCCAGATCATTTCAATTTTAATCCTATCATCCAAAGCACTTGCAACCCCTCACAGCTGGGTATCATCCGCAAACTTTGTAAGTGTACTCTCTGTGCCATTATCCAAATCATTGACGAAGATATTGAACAGAACTGGATCCAGAACTGATCCCAGAGGGACCCCACTTGTTATGCTCTTCCAGCTTGACTGTGAACCACTGATAACTACTCTCTGGAATGGTTTTCCAATTAGTTATGCACCCACTTTATAGTAGCTCCATCTCTGTATTTCCCTAGTTTGTTTATCAGAAGGTCATGTGAGACAGTATCAGAAGTCTTACTAAAATCAAGATATACTACATCTACTGCTTCCCCCGTTATCCACAAGGTTTGTTACCCTGGAGAACAATTGATCACTGTCCTCTTTATAACAACCCTTAACATATTTGAAGACTATTATCAGGTACCCTCCTCAGTTTTGTTTTCTCAAAACTAATCATGCCTAGTTTTTTGAAACTTTTCCTCATAGGTTGTATTTCTCATTTTTCTGGCTCTCTTCCAGACTCTATCCAATTTGTCCAGGTTTCCTAAAGTATGGTGGCCAGAACTGGACACAGTACTCTGCTGAGGCCTCACCAGTGTCAAGCAGAGCAGCACATTTACCTCCTGTGCCTTATATACGACACTCCTGTTAATAAACCCCAGAATAATATTAGCCTTTTTCGCAACTGCATCACACTATTGACTCATATTCAATTTGTGATCCAATATAATCCGCAAATTCTTTTCAGCAGTACTACTAGCCAGTTATTCCCCATTTTGTAGCTGTCCATTTGATTTTGCTTTCTTAAATGTAGTACACTTTGCATTTGTCTTTATTGAATTTCATTTTGTTGATTTCAGACTAATTCTCTAATTTGTCAAAGTTCTTTTGAATTCTAATTCTGTCCTTCAAAGTGTTTCAGCCCCTCCCAGTTTGGCATCATCCACAAATTTTATAAGCATACTCACTCCATTATCCAAGTCATTAATGAAAATATGTAATAGTATTGAACCCAGGTCTGACCCCTACAGAACCCCACTAGATACACCCTCCCAGTTTGACAGTGTACCACTGATATCTCCTCTTTGAGTACAGTCTTTCAGCCAGTTGTGCACCCACCTCAGTCATTTCATTTAGATTTACATTTTCCTAATTTGCTTATGAGAACATCATGATTGTGTCAAAAGCCTTACTAAAATCAAGATTAAGCCCTTTACTTACTTACACATCTACTGCTTCCCCCCTACCCCCATCCACTAGGCCAGTAACCCTGTCAAAGAAGGAAATTAGATTGGCTTGGCACGCTTTGTTCTTCACAAATCCATGCTGGCTATTGATTGTTTAATAATTTGTTCCTGAATCTTTCCAGGTACTGAAGTTAGACTGACTGGTATATAACTCCCCAGGTCCTCTTTGTTTCACTTTTTAAAAATAGGTACTATGTTTCCCCTCCTCCAGTCCTCTAGGAGCTTACCCGTCCTTAATAGTTTTGAGACTGCTTCAGCTAGTTCCTTAAGTATCCTAGGATAAATTTTATCAGGCCCTGCCAACTTGAAAACATCTAACTTACATAAACATTCTTTAACCTCCTCTTTGCCTAATGTAGCTTGCGTTCCTTCCCCCTTGTTGTTAATGTGAATTGTATTGAGTATTTTGTCACTAATAATCTTTTTAGTGAAGACTGAAGTAAAATAGGCATTAAACACCTCAGTCTTCTTTATGTCATCAGTTATTAGCTCACTTTCCCTGGCTAAGTAGAGGACCTACACTTTCCTTCGTCTTTCTCTTGCTCCAAATATCTTTAAAGAACCGCTTCTTATTGCCATTTATATTCCTTGCTAGGTATAACTCATTGATTTTGCTATTGATTGAATGTGTACATTTAAGCCTGTGTGTTTCAGCATTCCAGATATTCTCAACTTTAAGGATTTAAACAGCAGAATGTAATTTACAAAAAATTCCTACTTGCTTGATTAGTATTTTTTTTTAATTATTTCCTTCCTCTCTCCCTCCTTAATGCCCAGAGAAAGGATAGCATAATTACAATGAAAGCTCATTCTATTAAGCATTTATGCTGAATATTTCCCATGCAAATAACATGGGGAAAATTATTTTTTTCACATTGTTTCCTCAAAACAGATTGTAAACTTGCCTGTAAAGTTTATTTGTCTATGCAATAAATTATAAATCAGGACAAGAAGACACTTTGTTTTCTTTAAAGGATTTCACAGAGATAAAGATGACTTGGATATCTCCAAGGACTGAGACTTGCAAAAAGTCCCCTACTGATTTTTTTGGCTAATATCCCCCCTTCTATTTTCCCAGAGCTGGGATTGAGGCTTTGAATGTGAAAGAAAAAAATATTTCCTGCACAACACTGAAGGGTACCGAGGGGGAAGAGAGGTCGTGGAATTTTTACTGTTGGGTGAGCCAAAGAAAAATAAAGCAAATGGCTACTCCATCTTAAAAGAGTACATTGCAGCTTCCTTCAGCATTAAACAACATAGCTAGGAATTTCCTTTGGGCTGGACCTCTCAGGAATCTAAGATTTTATTAAAATTTTAACCTTAAGAATCCCAGATTTTTGAGAATATTGATATCTTCTTTTTTTAAAACTCAACTGACTTAAGCTTTAGTTTAAAATGTGAGGATCAATTGATTCAGGATTGTGAAATGTTAAAAAAATATTTTTGTTTTTAAAGGAAGTATTGGTTGTCAATGCAAAAATTTTTCAGCACTTGGGTATTTGTAGGATAAACCAGAGCATAGTAGGGACAGAGTAATGGAAAGTTGGAAACAACTCAAAGGATCATTTTTATAGAAAAAAGTTTATAATTAAAATGAGTATTACCTGTTCTGCTGAGGAAAAAGATGGAGATTTTCACTATCTACCTTAATGCTACAGATTCCTTAATTTCCCCCAGAATTGCTCTAAACAAATCGTTTTCTCCTGAACAAATACATGCTCCTTCTACTCTCCAAAGCATTCATACTCATTCTCTCTATGGAGAAAAACCACAAGTATTTTCACTGGTTCATTTACTTCTAGTGCTGATTACTCCTGTGTATTATATTGCAACACCCTACTGTTGAATTAAGAACATATTCATTACAGCCTGAAATTGAAAGTATATAATATAAACAATGCCTGAACTTACGTAACTCCTGCCTGTGCGCCTCTGTCTGTGCAAAATACTGGCGGAGCTCCTCTGTGATCTCCATGTTGCTCAGGTCACATTCTATCTCCTCTTCAGACTCAGAATCCTTCTCCATTTCAGAATCCCTGCCCATATCCTTGCTCACTCCGGAACTGCAATGGGCACCTGGGTATTGCTGGGGCCAGGAAGGGTATCGCGCTCTGCTGTTTGGAGCGTAAGTAGAATAGTTGTCAGCATCTGATGGGTTGCCTCCATCCCAATCTGAGTAACGGCTTGAAGGAAAGGTTTCGGATGGATACCATGACACATGATAAAAGGACTCCATGGCTTTCCTGTAGGCATTTTTGTGCTTGTACATCCAATGCATGGCTTGATTGTAATGCTTCCAGTATCTTGCATATACTTGTTGATTATACCATAGCTGAGAGTCTTCATGCAGTGAGTCCTCCTGAAAAATGTGGGAGCAGAGGGGAGAGACAGTGTTGAGGCAACTCCTAGAATTGAAAAGCTTTTTCATTCCAAAATCTTTACTTCCTATGATAACAAAAAACATGTATTTTGGAGGAAAAATGACAAGTGCTTGAAGAATGAACATACTATACATACAAAAATAGATCATGTTGCTCACGATACTAGTCACCAAGGAAGAAAGTAATGAGAATGACTGCACTAAAGCTTTCACCCAAAGCTCTGTTATTGCAGTGGAAGCCACTCCTGTGGGGCAAAATGTTGAAATGTATTAATGCAAACCGAGCTGTGTGGCTATAAATACTCAGCACTTACAAATACAAATGAATTCAAGTGAATTGATATACTACATAGGTGAAAGATGAGCTGAATGAGAGTTGATTACTTCAAAGTGTGTGTGGGATAAGCCAAATACTACAAATACACAAGCTTCATGTTAACAGGCAGAGGGTAACGTGTCTGAAATTCCTCTATATTTAAAATAAAGGCACCTATTTCATTTAGTAATGCATTTACCCCATCTCCTTGCCATAATGATTTCAGTGGTAGAGGTCAGATGGCAACTTAGTCACGTCTCAATCAAACCTTAGTCAAGATCTCAATTAAAGGCCACCCATGCTTAGCAAAGTGCTGTGCTGCTAGTAAATCTCACTTCTGTATTCATCAGCAGCTATAATCTGAAAAAGGGTAATAAAGTTCATTGACTGAAGTAAACTAAAATATTTTTTTCCAGTTATAAAACGTAACAAGTTGTAAAACAGCAACAACTGTTTTTAAAAATGTTTGTTTGCTTGACAGAACAGTTTACCCCTGGCTCTATTCTAGCCATATAACTCTATGAGAGTGCAGCAGACCCTATATAGTACAGTAAATTCTATATAGAAAAAGATTGCAATAGGTTCCCCTCCCCTACTAATTGGGCTACACATGGGTAGTGTTGGAGAAAGGTCAGGGATAATGGAAAGCTAAATCACTCTTGGGGTGCTGTTTGCTCACTGTCTGCCCTTGGGGTAGAGCTTCTGAGCAAGGGCTCTGGATGCATGGAAAGTGATGCTGGATTTAAAAACAAGTTGGTCTCACTTCATCCATTTGGATACCCATGATGCAACAATACGTGTCTGTCTTAAAACGGACAAAAGCCAAGAAATTTAGTGTAAAGTCTGATGTTTGTCCCATAATGCATCTCCTTGGTCTAGATATTGTGTGTGTCTCAGGGGCGGGAGAGTTTTACTTGATCTATTTTTTTTGCCACACATTTGGACTATTTTAGACTTAAATGTGGAAGGTCATCTTTTCTTTTTCAGGGATACTGTCAAGATGAAACATTATACTTTAAAGGTGCTTTCCTTACCTGTATTATTAATACCCTAAATCACCAAGAATGATTTTTTAAAAAAATAAATGAATTTGGTTTAGTGACACTTCATAGCTATAGTTTTACCACCCCTGCCCAGAAACCAACTTCTCTTCCTGACCCCCCGTCCCCTCCCCCAAAAGGGGCTTAAAAACACTGATAACATAATTTTAAGGTTATGTTTAAGTAGTTGCAAGAACAAAAAGTCTCAAGCTAATAAACTTTATTTTTCTTATTTCACTTAAACACTGGGTCAGGGATTGTGTCTCACCTGTTTATGCAAATCTATGGTGTCATACAAGTGATTTTAAAAAACAGCCACCAAATTAATTTTTATGGAAATGCATAACAAAATGTGTGCCTTTTTGGCTAAGACTTTATGGGACAGTTGTACCTCATGCACTTCTATTGTGCTGGTGAAACTCCACTGACTTCAGGGGATTTATTTCCAATTTACGCTGGTGTAAGAGGAGAATCTGGCCCTGTTGCTAGGATGTATTTATTTATTTATAACTGTTATGAACTCCTAAAAACCAGGATATTTAATGTTTTTACTTTGCTTTCGTTAAATGAGAATGTCACCCTGACTCTAGTTCTTCAATGTATAGTCAAGACCAGAAAATTCTGTGGTCAAGTCTGAGACGTTGCAACTCCCATTTCACAGAGTTAGTTCTGAAGCACTTTGTTTAATTTTTCCCACTGAAATAATTAAAAATCAAGTTTGGGAACATCAGTAGAGCAGTTAATACAGCTTAACAAAAAAGGAAAGTTTCATATATTCTATGTATTCCCCAAGATGACAACATATCTTTTTAAAATACGAAAAATATCTTCAGTTCTTTTTAACTAAAATGTTTCTAAAATGGGCCTTGGTGATGACCTCACTGAAAACTTTGGAATACAGCTGGCTGATTTGCCTATCTGACTAGCCCCAGTTGTTAATTTAGGGGGAGAGGAATACAAAGGGCCACTTCATGTAGACAGAATTGTGATTTTGGTGCTTATCCAAATACTTCTGTGTTTGGGAGGGGAAAAAAAGTGACCCTAGAAAACCTCACTCTTTCACAGAATTTTAAAAATCCATCTGTTGAAAAAAAATTAAGGGGATGTTTTAGATTGGGATGAAGAAGGAAAAGGAACACATTAAAGTCTAACTATGGAATATAGCTGTATGTCTGTGTTTTTTCAGCTGCTGTGTAAATGGAAATACAGAGGAGTTTTCTCAACCATATAAAAGCTATAAATCTAAGAAGAGTGATCAGCAGATTTCTCTGTTATTTTCCTGTCATATGTCTCTAGACTCTTCTCTGAAGAGACCAATCAAACAATACTTTTAATAAATGAATTTTACTTTGAATGCAATTTAACTAATTTAAAATACAATTCTTTTAAATATGTGCTGACGGTTCAATACAATTTGCTTGTATATGCAGTTAACATACAAAGTGTGCATTGCCCATACTCTCAGATACACAGTGTAAGTAAAGAATGCTTACCATCACCTGTGGAGTTTTCTCCAACGATCAACGTAAACTAGAAAAGAAAATAATGTTTTTTAATTTATAAAAAGATAGTTAAAAACACAGAAAGCATCTCTAGTGAACCCTAGTAGCTACAGACAAGAGTCAAGTCAACAGATGAGGGATTTTGAGTAATCAGAGAATACTTGAAACCTCTTATTCATTTATTCTAATTAGTTTTAGTAAGGAACTTTTAAATATTGGCGATTATTAATATTGAAGGCTCAAGAAGATCAAAGGGCATCCCATTCCCTGCAGCCTAGAATGCAGGAAGATATAAATAAACTTGGTCTCATTACCCTTTTTTTTTTAATCCTCCACACAATAGTGGCTTCCTCTACTTCTAGGTATCTTCAAAATTAATGACATTAAGGAATGACCTTAAATGAGAAACACTTGACTTTATCCCTCAGCAGTGTTTGCGGAAGGAATCCTATACAATTTTTTATTTTAAGCATTTTTAAAACCATTTTGATTTCACTCAGGTAGTAAGGTTTTTGTTTATTTTTAATCCTATGTTGTAATTGTTTGTATAACCATCTCCTCTTCTCCCACCCTGATTGCAACACTGCTTCACCTAAAGGAAGCACAGACAAATTCAGGTGATGATCAAATACTTGAATGGGGAGAGGAGGTTAAGTACAGAAGTGGAAACTGGAAAGGACCAGATCATAAAAAGATGTGCAATTACAACCTGCAGTTTAAAATTACTAACGCCTAGCACATACATTGCACTTTTAATCTTCAAAGTTATTTACCAACACGAACCACTTAAGAGAATTTTGAAAAATACCCTGACTATTGGACAGCTATTTTATTATACCAAGATTTTAAAAGAGCAAACCACCCATTCCACATAGTGTCATCACCCAGAAACTCTCATTTGAAGGGACACCAGGGGCAGCAGAGGGGAATGATACAAAGATTAACCCCCCCACACCATTTTTAAAAAATGACTGTGCGCCAAAGAATCCACTAACCGACACTCTCAAGCTACTCCAAGTAGTGGGTCAAATTATACTTTCACTTACACTGATGTAAAACAGGAGTAACTCCACTGACTTCTTTGGGGTTATCCCAGATTACACCAGCATAACTGAGTAGAATTCTTCCCACTGGGGCTGCCCAGGGTGTCAGTTGGAGCAGCATTTGGCCTCCTATTTATGACTTTATTGATCAAGCAGCAACTTTTTGTCTCTTTAAGACAGCAATGCTGAGCGAAGAGATTTGAATGCAGTCCATCCTGACATCACCAAAGAAATGCAAATCATGAAGCTACCACAAGTCAGCACAAAGGCCGAACTGTCACCCTTTGTATAGTGGAGACAGAGCCCAAATATGCAAACTCTCACTCACCAACCCTTCTGCAAACAGTCCTTACATACATGAGTAGTCCCAACACAGTCAATGGGCCTACTCGTGTGAGTAAAGGTTAGCAGAATCAGGTTCAAAAATGTCAAAGAGACTGAATTGATTGTCTTCCTGTCCACCTGCCAAGAGAGGCAGGAGAAAAAAAAAAGAGCTGAGGTCACTAATGAAACATTGCAGTGACTTGCAGCATAACTAGCCTTCAGATATATAAAAGACCTGGGTGCTGCCCCTTTCTGTTAATCTCAAACACACAGTTTTCCATGCTATCATCTTTTTAAAAGTTGTGTTTCGTGTGTGTGTGTGTGTAGTTTTCGTTTCTTTCATGTGCACATCTGAGTACTGTCAAGGTCACTGGAATAAATATAAAGGGCTCTTTCTCACATTTAAAATGTAAACTCTATTGTAGCTGCCTCTCTCATTTTCTGCCTGTAGTTTAGAAAAATTACATACATTAGAATTCTGTGTCTGCCTATGACTTTTTCATACCAAAACATTCTCTGAACTGCCTTAAGGATAAACAAAAATCAGGTTCACAGCCTAACATAAAGAGACTTTGTTTTTAATACCATAAGTGACTAAAAATACACACCATATTCAGAAAGACATACAGAGAGCTTTTTGAGGGGTGAAAACGCCCTAGTAAATCCATTAAAATGTAATAGTTTACTGAACATGAAATAAACATACACTTTAGCAAACAGAAACAATTTAATTTGCATAAATTATTTACGAACTCTTATAGAAATATAACACCTAACATAGGAAAGTCCTGATACTGGGTACCACCACAATACAAACAACAAAGAAATAATAAGAAATCAAAAAGCAAAATGGCTCTTCAAAAGTAAATTCAATAGGTTATCAAAATCACACAAGAAGCAAAAAATAAATAAAATCATTCTGGCTCTACTTTTTTCAATTCCTAAAAATTAAAATACGGAGGTTGCTACACAATCCGAAAGTAGTCTAATGTCCCTGGGAACACCACTTAACTTTTGAATGAAGAAAATTACTAAAAGGTCTGAATCACCACTGTAAAATTACCAAGGAAATATATTAGCCTAGGCAAAAAAAATCTACTTGTCCGCACTTACCATAATGGTGATGAAAAAATTTACTTCTTCATACAAAAATTACTATCCCCAGGCAATTGGATGGGGAGAATTTTGCAATACTGGCATTAAAGGTAAGGCCCGATCTTGCAAACACTTACACATGTGCTTAACTTTACTATGGTGAATAGTCCAATCAATGGGACTACTCATGGTAGTAAAATTAAGGCCCCAATCTTGCCAAATAAACTGTGCTGGCAAACCCTGGTGCCCATGTGGAGTGTCACTGAATGTGGCTCATTGCAGGGATGGGGGGGTTGCTGGCAGAGACCATCTGGCAAGATTGGAGCCTAAAGTAAAAGATTTTAAGGCTGCAGGCAGCAACAATAAAATGCATGGACAAAGAATACTTTGGTCCCTTTATGTGTATTAAAATGTTCTGTTGCTTGGAGGGCTTTGGCACAGAAAGTTCCCACCCCACCCCTTTTGTTATCACAGCCACATAATTATCGGTTTGTATTACCACAGCGTCTAGGAGTCCCAGTCATGGATAAGGACCCCATTGTGCTAGGCACTGTACACAGGACAAACAGTCCATTTCTGATACATTGTATTATCTCCTTTCCTAACCTTTCAAATCATAAAATAATTCCCCATTTATATTAAATACTGATGTATTGCAATTCATCAAAACATGCCCATCTACTTATAAACTTGAAGTGAGCAAGCAGTAGTGAGAAGAAAGCTATAACTGAGTACGGGTCTGATCCCACAAAGCGTTGTACATCACTCAGTCTCACTGAAGTTAAGTTGAGGATTGGATCCTGGAATGCTGTATTTTGAAAATGTGATGATACATTGTACATCATGAGAGTACAGCCCCCTGGTGGAGTATTGTACACAGTTTTGGTAGCCACACTTGAAATATATTGCACAGCTTGAAAAGGCCTACAAACAGTCGACAAAAGTATTAGTGTTCAGTCTGGCAAGACCTGAAGAAACAGGACTGTTTAGCCAAAATAAATAAATAAAAATAAATTGAGGGGATTTTCAGTTATTCAAAATTATGAAGAGCATAGCAAGAGCTAGTCAGTCACTTCTTTTCACACTGTTGCACAGTAATAGAACATAGAACATGATATAATTAAGAGATGGAGAAATTGGAACAAATTAAAATACTTCTTCACAAATCCCACAGTCAATCTGTGGAATTTACTGTCAAAGAAAGTCACTGAAGTCAATAAAATTAGAGAGGACTGGAGAATCTTATCAACATTAACTTTTGTAGCTCTGCAAAATAAGACAACTATTGAATAAGTCATCACAACTTTTATTTCAGGGAATACATCAATCACTTGTGTGGGTCAGGAATGATTCCCCCCCCCCCACCTTTTTTCACAGCCGGATAAAGGAACAGATGGACCAATGACTTGAACCAATATTGAAATTGCTGTAAGTGTTTTGTACATATTCCAAGAACTCGGTGAGAACAAAATGCCATGTTGTAGCACCAACAGTTTATATTTTTCAAATTATCATTTTACCTTTCTAGTGCTAGAAAGTCTGGGGGCAGGAGGATGTTTAAATAAAATCCATTCAGCCATTTCTGTCACTCAGCTACCGATTAATTACCATTGTGCATCGCTACCTATGTTAATTTTAATATCAACATGGCCCAGTTATTGCACATCTACATTCTTGTAGAAATGTAGATGTGCAACACAGACCCAATTAATTGCACCAATATATCCTTTTAACAAAAACTCCTGTAGACTACATTCCTGTTTGTGAATATCGGCAAATATTAAAGATGTTCTCTGGTTGACTTTTGAGACACAGGGTAGGTCTACACTACGAAATTAGGTCGAATTTATAGAAGCTGGTTTTATAGATATCGGTTTTATACAGTCGATTGTGTGTGTCCCCACATAAAATGCTCTAAGTGCATGAAGCCGGCGGACCGCGTCCACAGTACCAAGGCTAGCGTCGACTTCCGGAGTGTTGCACTGTGGGTTACTATCCCACAGTACCCGCAGTCTCCGCCGCCCATTGGAATTCTGGGTTGAGATCCCAATGTCTGATGATGCAAAACAGTGTCGCGGGGGGTTCTGGGTACATGCCGTCAGGCCCCTCCACCTCCATCAGAGCAACGGCAGACAATCAATTCGCGCCTTTTTACCTGTGCAGACAACATACCATGGCAAGCATGGAGCCCACTCAGCTCAGCTCACCGTCACCATATGTCATCTGGGTGCCGGCAGACGTGGTACTGCATTGCTACACAGCAGCAGCCCCTTGCCTTTTGGCAGTAGATGGTGTATTACGACTGGTATCCATCGTCGTTGTACTCCAGTTCAATCATAGGCACCTGGGCAGACATGCTTTGTCTCCTGGAGACTCAGTCCTGCCGGCAGTCCTATTGAACCATCTTGATGATGATGGCTAGCAGTCGTAGTACAGTATCTTCTGCCAAGCACCCAGAAGATGCCGAGGGCTATCAGTCATGCTGCACCGTCTGCTACCAGCTTAAGATGTAAAAAATAGATGGACCAGATTTGTTCTGTATTCATTTGCTTCCCCCTCCCTCCGT